GGTTGGGTGCGTGTTATCCTTATTTAGAAATCGATTTGGCGATTGCGGATATTTTTTGTGGATAACTACATGATAATCTAATGTTTTTCCAAAAAAAAAAAAATCAATCAATTTGTGTCTGTCCTCCCAAAAAAAACCAATAGGATAAATAATTAATGTGTACACATTGATCAAATAACAAACTTCCTTTATTTTTTTCTCTCAAAAAATGTCTACTTCTAAAACAATGAGAAAAAGAAGTAAACAAAATCATGAAGAATTTGAAAGTGTTTTAAGGATGGTGGTGGTTATCACCCACCACTTGTCATTACTCTAGTTTATTTATATGTTTGACAGTTTCATTAACCTTGATTGCTCCTTAGTAATGTGAGGTACTCAAAACAAAGGATACCACTACAAGAAAATGTAAGCAAATTATATTTTCAAATAGATAGAATTGTTTTGTTTTTGATAAATTTACATACTGGCTTCATATATTATGTCAAATAGTTATACATATACAACTTTGACAGTGATGGAAAAGAAGAAGATGACAATATTAATAGTGAAGAAAACCCAACATATACTGAAGAAATTGTTGATTTGTCATTTGTTGAATTTGATGAAAAGAAAAGATTTAAAGTTAAAAAATTTTTTTTTCTTGGTTACCTATATAGGAATTTTATGGGATCCTATTTATTAATAAATTATTAACTATATTAACACTTTTTATATTAGATAAGTGGAACTTTTAACATGTCAAAAACATCATGTCTCATTATCAATGTAATAGATAAAATTAAGTTAACCCCAAATGATTTGATATCAGATATATAATCAAAGGTTATATCAAATAATTATAAAGAATGAATATTTGGGTAGTTTTACATATATTGAATGGCATGATTCAATGTGTTTAACAAATCAAGAAAACGCTTTTGTTCATAATTATATTTTATATGGATCAATTACTATTCCAGATAGAATAGAATGAAGATTGAATATTTTATTGCATTTTAATTACTTTTTTGACACAATTCCAAATTGTTTGGAAAATGAAATCATATCAAGAACAATCAGAAACAATTAATGAAAGATCTTATTCCCATCAGATTGTGGATTTTATCTTTTATAACATTGTGGGCATCTTTCAGAAGCAACAAAAAAACGAAATGCTGGAAAATATGGTCCTACTAAATATCCAGATTATACATGAAGTCAAAATTAAAACTCCAAAGTTGAAATGTTTTGACTTGAGGCAACTACATAGTAAAAATCAGTTTCGACCTTATTTCAACCCTATTTCGACCAGATCTGCAAATGGTCAAAATAGCTTTGACTTCATGTATAATCCAGATGGTGTTATTTTATAAAGAAAATGTAGCTCATTCATTTAATTATGAATTTCTATACATTGAAATTAGTAATGGTCCCTATATAAAAGATACTGCAAGTCATCTAGAACATATAGAAAATGATAAAATCCATCTTGGGAAATTTTCAAAAGACAGTTTAAGTAATTACAAGCATTTTATCAAAAGCTTTGATGATTCAAAGAAGTTGGAATATAAACTAAATGAAATTTTAAACATAATTTCAATTTCACATACAACAATACTAAACTGGATATTTATCTTATGGATTATAAATTGCTACCTTTTTACAGAATGTGTTTAATTAAGTCATTTGATCTTCCCTTGGTGATGTCAACAAATAGACAAGAAACAATCACAGAGGTAATAAAATTATGCAATATTTTAATATCCTTAAATAAAATAATCAACAATAATCTTAGAAATATAGATTTTATAAATAATGTAGTAATAAATAAAACAAGAAACAGTACTCTGGAACAAAATAATATAATTTTAACTAATTTATCAACTAAGAGATAGATGTCTTTAGAGTTAGATCAAGTAAATAAATAATAAAATTATTCCAAAGTGATAAGCGTGTTAATATTATATATTTATATGATAATAATTTTTATTTTTATTATTTTATTGACTTACATATTACATAGTGATATTAGTATGAATTTTATGCATTGATCTTAATTACATTCAATAAATAAAATCATAATCAAATGCAAAATAATAATTTTCTTCAATTCTTTTTTTTTTAGAAATAAACAATAGTTCTCTAAAAATAAATAAATAATCCTTTCTTTATCTAAATATGCTTGCAAGGATTTAGTATCATTTGTTTTGAAAATGTAAGGAGCAATTTTTTCACCTTGTTCTTTCTTCAGAATACTTCTAATGGTACTATAATTCTTGGGTTCCATAGTAGATCTGATGTAAATTAGTTTCATATTAACTATTTTTATATAAAGGTAATTCTATATATCACTTAAGATAACAAATGGGATATTATAAAACTGATAATTATTATACCAGTGTTCACTTTGTCTGGTTTTGTTGCAGCATGCCCCATATAGCAGATAAAACCGTGCTCAAAGGTCCTTTCTTTTTTTAAAAAAACTTTCTATTACATTGTTGTTAAGTTCTAAAGATTGCAAAAATAGAGTTATCCCCCACTTCAAAAAAAATATAGTTATTGAGCCTTGGCATTTTAAGATGGTTATTGTTTTTTGACATTTTTAAATAACATATCATGTCCCTTAATTTGCTTATTTAATGGTTCACTATTACTTTCTTTATTAATATTATCTTTTATTCTGCTACAAGGTTTCTTTTATAATGTTGAGAAAAAAATTTTTTTTATCATTGTAAAAAAAAAAATTTATCAGCCAACTGACATCATTAAATCAAAGGATTTTAAATTAACTATAGGTCAGAAATTTGAGAATGTGATGATAATGCCTCATTTTAAAATTACACTTCATGTTCCAGGGTCATAATTCAGCAAATTACACATTAAAATAATTTATTATTAAAATCACAACACTTTGACTCTATCTAATATTGTGACCTGAGACTCTTAGTTTTAGGTAAGGATATATAGGGTTTGAGTTGGAGTTTGAGCTGGGTTCTCTGTTGAAACTGTTTAGGGAATTTAAAAGGGTTGAATGTCACAGCATTGACTCTATCTCCCAAAGAAGGACATAAAATCATGACCAAATTCCTCAATCCTAGATTATAAATGAGCCCATTATATATACTTGGTAATAAGGTTGCTTGCTGAAACCTCTTAGTGACTGTCAAAACTCTGTCAAAATTCTAATGAACAATTAGTTAGTATATATATTATACCTTGTCAAAACTCTGACAATTGACAACCCCCAAATGTGAAACTTGAATAAACAATTAATGTGTAACCTGTCAAAACTCTGTTGATTGATTTCTGGAGGAGTTTCACCTTGGTAAACAAGTTTTTCAACTTTAATAAATTGAAAATGTTGTGTTGATAAATTTTATATTTTAAATATTTATTGTTCACTTTTTTTTAAAAAAAAAAAAAAAAATTTAAAATAATAAAGGAAATTCCCAAAAAATTTGCATATAAAAATCCCATAAAGAATGTTTGTATATAATCACTCTTTTATACATTCCCATTACAAAATAATGAACCCATAAAATATATTATATATAATAAACCTTTTTTAGTATAAAAATCCTAGATCCTGATATTTTTTAATTTGCATTGAAATTGATGAAGATTCATCATCTTTTGATAATTTTATTTTAAAGGGCTTAGGTCCTTTCCAATTTTCAATTAAAATATCTAATGAAATGTCCTCTTCATTAGAAAATCCAATCCCTTCATAAAAAACGATGGTATTTAAATTCATTGGCAATGCTTGGTTTAAAATTTCAAGTATTTTATCACCATCCATTCCATATATTCCATATGCTCTAACAAAATTAATCTTTTTTAATTTTTTACAATTATTAAATATTTCAAATAACTGTTGATCAAATCTATTATCATAAGCTATACTTAAATCTTCTAAATTATGACATTTTTGTCCAATTGAATTTAACAGTTCTTTTAAATCTTTTAAATATCCAGTGCGTGTATAGACATCAATATCTATAGTTATGAGACTGTTTCCATTGATTTTAATAAATTCTGACAGACTTAATAGAAATAAATTTTTATAAATTCTTCCATGCACAACCACAACTTCAATATTTGGAAGTGAAATAGTTTTTAAATATTCCAAATGAGTATTATGATGATAATCATCTAATCTTAAATATTTTAAATTTTTAAACATTGGAATTAATAAAGGATTTAAATAATTTTCTTCCAAACTTGAATATTCAATTATTGATTCTGAATGAGTTAATAGTGCTCTTACAACCTCAGCTGAAATATTTGCATGTTTGAATTTTCTAAGATGTAATTCTTTAATTTGATTTTGTGCTTTAATTAATTGTGCCAATTTATAACTATCTTGACCTATATTTAAAAAATCAAGATCATCTAATCTTAAAACTTGAATATTTTTACAAACATATCCAAGTTTATCATATAAGTTACTAGTACCAAAGCTACTACATTTGAATTCATAAAGATTTTGAAAACAAATATTAAATCTAGGATGATTAATTGGCAATCCAGTATCATCAATATCAAGTATTTTAATATTTGTTGAATAGTCTAAAATAAAGTCTGTCAACCTTTTTTTTAAATGAACAATCCTTATAAAATTGTAATCATTGCTTATTAGATCTTTTAACTTATTGTTAATGTCAAAGAAATTTAAAATAGTTGTAAATTTTGCATAATTGTATAATGGTGATTTTTCAAGTAATTCAAAATTTTTTAATTTAATGTTGCTGCTGGTTAAAAAATTTTTATCTTCTACTAATAGACAATTAATTAATAACCCTATACTATTAACAGAATAAAATGGATCTTTCCATAAAATTTGAATACTGATGTAATGCCATTGTCTATTAACAAGAATACAAGAATAAAGTGTTTTATAATCATTTTTAATGTAATTAAATATTGATATTAAAAGTTCAGGTGATAAAGTTGCTTTCAGCATTTTAAGTAAAAATGTTTATATCCAAAAATCCACAGGTACTAAATATTAAACTTTTTTCTTTGCACAAGTAAAGACAAATCGTTTCTCTATTTTATTTATCTGCACACTAAACATTTATGTAGTGGAACAAAAAATTTTATTTTTATTCGCAGGTCGTCAAATATACTAAATGAACGAACTTTTATATTATTGTTATTGATTACATCATAGACCCTACACTAAAAAAAATTTAGCTTCGCGAAAAAAAATCATGCAAGATAGATTTCTTTGTTGCTAAAGAAACCAACCAACCCAAGACTTTTAAAGTTTAAAAAAAAACAATTCGGAATTGACTTTCAAAATTTAAAACAATCAAATCTAGAGGTTGGAACCAGCCAAAAACCTTAATCAATTAATTCACCTCAATGTAAATATATTCATATATTTTGAATTTCTTTTTACAAAAAGAATCTCTTGAAAAACTTTGATTTAAGTTGTATGTATTTACTTGTATTGTTTCCCAGCATCTGAAAAAAGCTGCTCGATGGGGTCTGAGGTGGTTGGAATAGATAAATATTTACATACTAATATTGCTAACATAGGAAATCTTTATCTATTCTCATTCACCATATAAAAGGGTTAGTTAATATTTTCATTAAGATAATTAATTATTAACCTCATTTACTTTTTTACATTGTTGATTTTCAGTTCCAAAAAATGTATTAAAAATTGTATCTTCTTTTGTTGCAAATGATTGATTTTTAATTGATGATGATTCAAGTAATTCATTATTTGGGTTTTAATTTGAAATTTAGTTCATTGTATTTCTTTGAAGAATAGCTTCAGTTTTTCTTTTTAGCTGATTATTTGACAAAAACTTAAATCTTTATACCTGGGATCCAAAATTGTTGAAATGAGTGCAATTTGATTAGGTTTTTGCCAATAATGATCAAGTGGTTTAATGATTCTTTCTAACATTCTTTTAACTATTTGATCAGAGCTTACAGGTTTTTGTAAAGGTGTTAATATATTACTTTTTAAAATATTTTGTAATTTTCTTGACAATTCACTATAGTTAATTTTCTTTACATAAATTATGTTTGTGAGGCCTAACAATAACTAGTTCACTATTAACTTTATCAAATTCTGAATCACCTGAATTTTCATTATTTGAATGAATCATTTGACTCATCAGATAGATTTTCTTTTATATTTTCTGTATAAAATATAAATTAAATATAATTATATTCAATTAAACTTGCCAGTATCATCATGATAAACTTCTACTTCTTCTAAATCTTTAATATTAATACCCATACCCATCTTTTAATTTTCTTCTACAAATTAACTTAATGTTTCAACAATTAGTAATATTGATGAAATTGTTGCATATTCAAAAAAACTTGGAACTTTGTCAAATGGCTTAAGAAGGCTACACAACTTTTTTAAAAGAATCCATTTTTCTTATATAGCATGATTTTTTTGTAAATGTTCACCATCCTGTTTATCATTTCTATTACCTTTAAGGTGTAAAGTTGCATTTAAATGTAATAGTCTGTTTTTTTTAATTCAATTAATTGCTTCCATGAATTATATATTTGTAGATAAAATTTCAGGTGGATTCATCATCAGAATCCTCATTTATTTGATTGTAAATTTGACTTTTTTTAACAAATCCTTTTGTACTTCAAGTTGTTTCAGACTGTTTTTATGATTGAAAAAATTTAACTACTTTTTAATAACATTTTACTAATTGATTCTTATAATGTGAGTGCAACCTTTGAATATTATTATTCGTAATTTAAGATGTTAAAAGCTGCTTTCATGTTTGACCTATTATCTGTAACCACACAAATAATTTATTTTCCCAATGATATATATTTTTCTAAATAATTAGATATCACTTTAGCTGTATGTGGACACATAATATTTTCAATACCAATTAACATATCATATAATTCCAATATATTCCAATTTGCTTCTCAATGTCTATAAATCAGTTGTTGTTCACAAGAATTGATATCAAGTTCTTGGCACCAAGTTTGTATGCTTCAGAAATTAAATTTTGTCACATGGAATGGAAATTTTTTAAATCTTAAAATATGAAATGGCTGAGAATCAGTAATAATAAATTCAAGTAAGACCACATCTAATTTATATTGTTGTGATTTTACATGAGGTATTACTCTACCAAACATTGAACTGATTGTATTTTTTTGTTCCTATAATATAAGTTTAATTTTAAAATTAATATATATTACTGATGAATAATATTCTTTATCAAAAATTATATTATGCGTTACATTCAAGTGGTATTTCATGTATGAAGTAGAGCCTGTGAATTTATAAGATGTATTGCATGATTCTTCTTTTCCATTTTCCATTATAGGAATTATACATTGTACTTTTTCATTCTCTTTGATTTTTGACAATTTTGATCTGTTGACTATTAATAGGCAATTATAAAAAGAAATTGAAGAGGATATGACTGATTGTGGTTTGACTAATTCAAATGAGAAGACTCTTTAACATCTATCTCTAAAATTCTGGGCAACTATCATTTATTTCGTTATCAGCCATTCACAAAAGAATAAAAGAAGTATAGTTTCTTCCTAATACAAATTTGAAATTAAAATTAACTATAACTAATTTAAGCTTTAACCGGTTTCCATTGTATTTAAAAAGAGCGGAAAAATATCACGTGAAACTAATTTTGAACCAAAGAAAAATTTTTTTTTCAGAAAATAGGCGGGGGATACTTAAACTAATACATAATTATACAAATTAGAAGCCATAAAAATATAAAAAAAACAATGATCGATTTATTATGTTAATATTTGTGCTAATAATAAATAACAAATGATAACAACAGATATATAAATTCTTTATAGATTTTTATTTTTAATATAAAAACCCTAGATCCTGATATTTTTTAATTTGCATTGAAATTGAAGAAGATTCATTGTCTTTTAATAATTCAATTTTAAAAGGATTGGGTCCTCTCCAATTATCAATTAAAATATCTAACGAAATATTATTTTCATTGGAAAATTTAACCTCATTTTCAAAAGCAATAATATTTAAATTTGTTGGCAATGCTTGATTTAAAATCTCAATTATTTTATCACCATCTATTACACCATTTATTTCACTAAATCTAATGCATTTTAATTTTTTACAATTATCAAGTATTTTAATTAACTGTTGATCTAATTCATTATGATAAATTATTTTAAAATCTTTTAGATTATGGCACTTCAGTGCAATTGAGTTTAATAGTTCTCCTAAACAATCTACATCGCTTGCTATGTTTGCAGCAATATATATAGTTATAAGACTGTTTCCATTAATTTTAATAAATTCTGACAGATTTAATAGAAACGCGTTTTGATAAATGGTTCCACGCACAACCACAACTTCAATATTTTGAAGTGAAACAGATTTTAAATATTCTGAATGAATACTAGAATAACTAAATAATTCCAAGTATTTTAAATTTTTTAGTGTTGGCATTAATAAATGATCTAACCGATTTTTTCCCAAACTTGAATATTCAATTATTGAATTTGAATGAGTTATTAGTGCTCTTCTGATTTCAACTGATGATAAAGTCGTATTTTTGAAATTTCTAAAATACAATTTTTTAATTTGATTTTGTGCTCTAATCAATTGTGCCAAATTATAATTATCTTCACTAACTTTTGAAATATCAAGATTATGTAAATTCAAAACTTGGATCTTTTTACAAGTATGTGCTAGTTTATCAAATAATTCACTATTATGAAAGCCACTACATTCTAATTCATGGAGATTTTGAAAACAAATATTAAATCTAGGATGATTAATTGGCCATTCGGTATTACAACTAGTATTAAGTGTTCTAATATTTGTTGAATAGTCTAAAATAAAGTTTGTCAATATTTTTTTTAAAAGATCAACCATTGTATAATTGCTCATTAGTTTTTCTAATTTATTGTTAATGCTCCAAAAGTTTAAATCGGTTGTAAATTTTGCATAATTGTACAATGGTGATTTTTCAAGTGATTTAAAATTTTTTAATTCAATGTTGCTATTTGTTAAAAATTTTTTATCTTCTGCTAATAAACAATTAATTAATATTTTGATACTACCGACGGAATAAAATGGATCTTTCCATAAAGCTGGAATATTGATGTAATGCCATTTTTTATTAACAAGAACGCAGGAGTATAGTGTTTTATAGTCGTTTTTAATGTAATTAAATATTTTCGTTAAAAGCTCTGGTAAAATTTTCTTCAACATTTATCATTTAATTTTACATGAATGAAAATATTGCTTCATTTTATTAATTAATCTTAAATGAAAATAAATAAAAATATTCATATGATAATAACAACATCAGATATGTATTTTTTAATTGAAATTGTCAAAACTTTATTATAAATCGAAAATCAAGAAGGGAAATATATATATTGATATCAATATTTTAAAGTTACACGTGAAGCCGAATTTTATTTTATTATTATAATTTGTACGTCGAAAATTTTGTTGATAGAAAAGAAAGATAGATTCCTCTAATTAGACTGTTTGCACTATACTCACTGCACAAAGTGGACCGTACTGAACCTGCATATGTCTCTCCCTCTCAACATTTATTAAGGATAAGTGAAGTTCTCACGGTGGTGGTTTTTTTAAAATCCAACATATGGATCACATGATATTTCGAAATTTTAGTACTGTACGAGGCAAATGATTTAAAGAGGTTTGGATTATCATTATATAAATCTCATGACTATATACTCCCTACCCTTTTTAAATTCGTACTACTTTAATTCGTGTTCCGTGAGACAACCAAAATTTTATTGATCATTAATATAATTTTTAGAATTTTTGGAATATGACCGTCCCTCACGTGATTAAGCATAATTACGCGACATAAAAATTTAAAAATTATTAACTTTTCAAAGTAACCAAACATCTATTTATATTTCTTCTTTTTTTGAATAAAACTAAATACAAACGTCTATTTATATTTCTTTTTTCTTGGATAAATAACTAAATATTATACTTGAATCTTAAGTTTTATATAGCAATTTTAGACAAGAATCCAGCGGTCTCTACATATAAAGGTAAAATATTTTATAAGAAAGTCCCTTTGAAATTTTGTATACTGAAAATTTGGATTCTTATTGTTTATTACAATTGCAAATACAATTTATAAATTCGTATAAATAGTAGTTTTTTAGGAATGAAATATGGGTTCCGGAAAATTTCAATTAGTGATCTGCGAAAATTTGCGCCAAATTCTACAATATATATATTAATATTAATATATGAAATCTTTGCAGTTGTCTCACGTATCACAAATTAAGTTATAAAACGTCGTGTAACTGGAATGTCATATGCATGTTTGTTTATTTACATTTCATCGACTTCTTAAAAAAAAACTTTTTAATTCTCCAATACGTGATATTCCACTATAAACTTTGACTCTTGTTCTTGTTGTATATAAATAAGGAGCATTATATAAAAAGCTTCTTTGTCAAACCCGTATTTGAGATGCATGATCTATATAAATTAGCAGAAAACAAAAATGAATACATTCAAAACTTGCTCGGGAGAATGTTAAAAACGAACTATCATTCATTCATGAGAAAAGGTAAAAGATGGTTTATATGATTATATTAATTATGAAAATAGTGAATCAGAATTGCAAAAATAATGAATGAATACTATAAAGAATCATTAACAACTGAGGACTATATTATTCATATTAAACTAAAGATGCATCAAGAAGTCGCGTAACAACCTAAATGGCCAAATAATTCCAGCATCAAGAGGCCGGAGATGAACTGTGGTGTTGGCAGAAAAATAAGAAGTTTAACAGCATTATCAAGTAACATAATAAATTTTTTATTTTCTGTTTTCATTTGCTTATATCCGATTTGAAAAATTGATGCCTGCATCCAAGCTTTTTATTCTAGTAATAATATACTAAAAGTTTGGTTTTGTCAATTCCCCTAATAGCGTGAGGATTTCATACTTATGTATTAGTAATGGCTTAAGTTTTTCACCTCTCTCTTTGGATCGTTTTGTACCAGACATTTCACCATAAACTAAAGTCTTTGATGGTTCAAGTTTCCAGACTTTACATCATCATATTATATAGGTGCCCTAACTATTCGTTATATTTCAGAACATTCCATACAACCAAAAAATCAAAATGTCAAAGCTGATCAAAGCAAAAATATTTAATCAGAAACACACAACAAATGTTACAGTCAGAACTCGATCAGGTAATGCTTCGATAAGCCAATGTATTTTTATTATCCACCTATTAAAATTTATCTCTATAAGCTGATTTTATTAGATTTATTAAACCAAATATTTTTTCTGAAAACATTGGCTTTTGATTTAACAAACTCTGATTGTATCAATTTTTAATTTTCATCTTGCTCTGGTATTTTAAACCATTCGAAATGACCAACGATTGGCAGTCTTGTCTTAATAGTCTTTATCTTCGATCGTAAAACGTCAATGGTGGACAAAGCAAATATTTAATTGGAAACCGTGTTTCACCTTAGTTATACAATGAATGTTTTTTACACAGTAACAATTTAGGTATTCACCCATCAGCGGTATTTCAAGTTGCTAAATATTGATGGACTTGCCCTGGGAGCCTTTATCTTTGATCGTAAAACGTTCATGATTGACAAAGCAAATATTTAATCAGGGATTGAATTCGCTTCAGCTTTACACGTAATAATTTTTAGGTTTTCATCTTGATCTGCACTTTAAACCACTCAAAAACTGACAGGCTTGACTTATGTGTCCTTATCTTCAAAACGCCCATGGTAAACGAAGCAAACTTTATTTATATCCTACCAAGTTCAGAAATTAAGAATAAAGATTGTATGGAATTGTACTTTAGACGGCCAATGTAGATGTTCAAATGGTAATCAAGAGACAATAAAAAATCACTCAAAAAGAAAAAATTTGCAATAAAGTCAATATTGACATAAACGTATAACCAGTTGTCAGCGGCAGACTGTTTGTCCTCGCCTCATCAACCTCAACCATCAACCGCCACTACCACTACAACTAAAAATAAAAAATCTAAAAGAAATATCAAACTATTTTATCTCTGATCTCTGATTTGTGTACAGCTTCAATTGGTTCCAAAAATCATGAAAAGGCGTAAATACAATTAGTTTCTCTGGCATCTTTTTATCATTAACAACAGAATTGAATTTGCATGGTGGCGTTAAGGTGTGGAAATTAGCCAGCGCAACAAAAAAAGAACTTTTACAAATATGAAAACTCCCTGCGCATACTCAGTTTAAAATTATACACCATATGTGAAGCGTTTTCTTTCCTTCTTTATTAAGTATATGTAGCTTATCAATTAATTAATCATTCTTTAAAGAATAAAGTATAGTATGATGTTATTATTCCTATTTTATTCAAAAACAACAGACACTAATTTTTGGTATAGAAATGCCAACTGATCGGGTTTCTTTTTCATTCCAGCCAGCCTTGATAAACAATTCATTACAGACCACTCTACATTTAAATTCTGTGATGAGAAACTCCTCTTGTAATGAATTTACAATATTCTTCAAAAGTGGGTGTCTATTTAAATCAACAGAAATTTCTATTTCTTCACATAATTGTCCGTGTTTTCAAGCTAACAAACTCCACTTTCGGAACAACGCTTCTGTCATCAACTTGAGTTTTATCTTCTTCTTCTTCGGCCCACAAATGGTTTACATCAACAGCTTTTCCCTCAGCATAAAAGATGAAAACGTAATGGCAGAAAGGTTTCTAAGATAAGCTCAGTATGCAAACCAAACACTCGTCATACCTAAATTTCCAGACTGAAGAAGGGACGTGCACACATCAGCCTTCCCCATTATATGTAATGGCACGGTATTCTTCTATAATATCTCAAAGTCTATTATGGACCTAAGCAACCATTTATCAGATCGTCCTGTCACAAGTTGGAACATATAACAGTAATCGATAATGTACTACCATACTTTCATCATCTCCGAATCTAGCCTATAACTGAAATGTTTAATGCTGATTAAGTAAGATCACACTACATATATTATTAATAATATTAATATTTTTTTTTTTCATTTTAGCATTATCATCGATCTTATAATGTTATGGTCCACGAAGGTCTAGAAACATCCATTGCTGTGCCACACAGCCAAATGTTCAAAAATGCATAAGGGTTAGTTTTTGTGTAATTAAAAATAATAAATTTTATTTATATAATAATGATAATAATTATTCAATTGAATTGGAAGATACGCGATGGAGTGAATCATAAAAAAAAATATTTTTTTTAACGCGTACGTAATCTTGTTATTAATTTAATATTAATATGTAATTTTACCATAAAAGGTATTCATTCGTTTGGAATGACTTTGCCGTAAAACTAATTTATTTAAAAAAACGTGGAATTTTTTTTTTTATAACAAATTTCCTCGTGAACATAAAAAATAAAACATCAAAATTAGAGAGAAGAGACATACACAATGTTGTCAAATAGAAAATACAATGTAAAAAATATTCAATCATATCTTTCTCATTCTATAATTGTTAATTTAAATGCTGAAATATGATTGGCTGCCACTTAGAATTGGTCAACACACATACACACATTAATAACAGCGACTATACATTTATTGAATAATTTAATTATTATCGAATCAATAAATACTCGAATAATTTCCTTTTTTTTTTACTTTATACTTTTTACTTTTACCTTTTTCCTTTTTTCTTTTTCCTTTTTCCTTTATCCTTTATCCTTTTTCCTTTTTCCTTTTTCCTTTTTCCTTTTAATATTATTATTTTACAAAAAAAACACCGGAGAAATTTATCGGACTTTTTATTATTTTAGATTTTTTTTTTTTAAATTTCTCCACAATTTACAAAACTTCTTTACGTCCATTAATATATATAATCTATAGAGTAGAGATAAAAAGACTAATGCTGACCTCATACCTTCTTAGGCACGATGCAAAATTAACTCAGAGGATAAGAATAGGGGCCTGAGTTACATACTCAATTCGTTATTAATCCGAAGATGATGGTGCCATTTTATTAATGAGGTAAGTTATATAGTAATTCTTTAGTTTGCGGTTTATAAGGTAGTAGCATTAGTTTATTAATAACGTATATTTTAATAATATTTCAGGTAGTCTATCGGATTGACCCTATTACTGATAGTCGAAGGTGATAATGCCATTTTCTTAATGAGGTAATTTATATTACAATAGTTCTTCGGTATACAGTTTACAATGCAATAGCATTAATTTATTAATAACATATATTTTAATAATATTTCAGGTGGTTTATCGGGTTGATCCGATTGCTATCAAAAAAAAAACGGATTTACGGGTTGAATGGATATTGCATTCGGGTTCTTTAATATTATAAAGAACACGTAAATGGTCTTCCCTGCAACTACAAACTGTCTTTTTTATGAGTTAAAGACGGGATTAAAACAGGGGTTAAGGACGATTTTATTTAAATCCGACACCCAAGTTTAAAACTTCGGATTTATTTGTCATTTTATTTTTCAGAAATGAATGACTTTAAAGAAACTTTACAATCTGAAGCCAATCATGACGGGACAAGCTGAGAGACTCGACCACCGAAACCTTCCCACTACCACTCGGACGACGACGAGATAATAAGGCGAAAGAAGTTTCACGCCTAAGAAGTAAAATAATACGAACGAGGTAATGAAGCTTTTATCGTGCATCGAAAGAGACTCAAATTAAATTTCAACAAAAAAACATTGTGTTTATTTTTCCAACTTGCTAAATTTTCTTATTTTATTTGTTAGGAGAACATGATGTGGCTTTTTTTCTTTAAAGCTTCATTTCTGCATGGTCCCAATATGATTATTAATTGGGGTGATGCAATTTATAAAATAAAAAAGCTAATCTGAGAAACGGTAGTAATGGATAAATAACACTATTAATGAAGAAATGGAAAGGAATTCAATAATGGTAATTTTCCTTTGGTGATCCATTTAGTAATGTGCCGTTCATAGTAAACTTGGTTTTTTTCCTAAAAATTTTTTCTTTCTTCACAAAATGCAACAACAATTTTTATTATTATTATTAACGAGAACAACAACTACCTACGACGACGACGACGACGACGACGATTACGACAACGACGACAAGAACAAAAAATTAACTATGGACACACTCCAAAGCTAGTGCCCTAAGCTGGTGTTAGCTGCAAACATCGGCCGACTGCCAGCTTAAGTTGACTGTTGTTGAACCTTCTTCTACGACTCACTTTTATTATAGTTGTTTAGTTTACCCTTCCTCTTTTATTTTCCTTTTATTTATTTTTTAGTCAATTTTAGTTTCTTTTTTTCTTTTTTTTTTTTAGATTAGTTAGTTTACACATTTCTTTTACTCCACCAACTTCAGTTGGTTATCGCTTCAAAACCCAACTTCGGGTCCAATAAATTAATTGCACGTGTTCATTGACCATGGGGATGCAATGTTTTATTCCTCGCATCAATTATACAAACATGATGAAATAAATTACGATTCTTTTGCGTTTATGTATTTAAATAAATATTTATTCATGTAAATTTCCCGAAAGTTATTGTGAGGTAATAGAAAAAAATATTTGTTTACGATGGATGCTACGAGCTATGCGCGACACATCACTAGGCATACTGCACGAAGACATCCCAGAATTGCGAATGCATCTCGTGTCCTTTAGAAAAAAAAATTTTTATCAACAAGAAAGTAGGACATAAAGAATATATATAAGAATAGCTAATTAAATAAAAGATCCTATAAAAAAAAAAGCAAGACACTACGCAAACAAAAGAAAAATTCAGTACCGATCTAATCTATACTTTTGGATTGGTTACTCCAATTATTTTCTTATATGGAGGATATTGAATGATCAAAATGAGCGATTTTCAACACTTTAAACCTTGAAATTATTTCGTGGGATTATGTTCATTCTGTATGATTTTATTGCAGCATGTCCTATATATTAATAATATATACGCATCAATATCTTTCTTCTTATGAATACAAATTCGCTACCCTCTTAACTCATACAATCACCACCCGATATCAAATAATAGCTCGTATAACAAAAAATGAAATTGCATCATTTTTATTAAAGACTTTACCTTTTCATTTCATTTATACATTCTAAGTTTTTATATTCTATATTCTATATTTCTATATTCTATATTTTCAATTCAAATAGACATTTTTGTCCTGTGAACAATAATTATTTTATATGTTCTGGTGTATTAACATTAAACATAAAAAATTCGGGCCAAGATATTTTTTATCAAAAATTAAACACAAGAAAGCTCGGTAAATTAGAAATGGTATAAAATCATAATAAAGATACCGGTGAACAAGATAGAATTATAATTGAATTTAACTATCATTATAATGAAATACATGCATAAAAATACGGGCGGGATATATAGAAAATGCGTGTCGTACTAAAAAAAAACAATTCCAAGTTCAACGGGCAATTCATGTCCGTACTGGAAAGTACAGTAAGCACTTTCTTTCTATATACATTCCAAAGAATGCGGGAAGAAAAATTCGAAATCGCGATTTGAAAAAGGTTAATTAATACTCTTTACATAAAATTAAACTCAAATAGAAACAACCATTCATTAATAGATGATTAATATGTAGAAGTGAAATCGAACTCGTTCATACACATATCGATATTTACTGTATTTATTTACATATAACATACACCTCGAGAACTTTTTACAGGGTATATTAGTATATACTAACTAATCTCTGAGGGAAAACATCAAATATAAAACGGTTCTTTAAACTTGAAATTCTGTTTGCAGCACTAGTCATTCGCATGTGGCATACTAGAGGTCACAAAGCCCTTCGGAGGTAATAACTACTATCCTAACGCTCCACTTGGGATCTCTCACCTTCCTCTCGATGGGTGTTTAAAATTAACCTTCTCCTCACAATAATAACCTTGTGAATTTGAAATCTGCTCAATGATACATATTTCCCAATTCCCATTTCGACATTAAATAATTATACAGATTTATTTTTAAATTTTTAATATACAAAAAAAGAAATTAATAATAATATAATAATAATATAAACAACTAATAATGATCTAATTACATGATAAAGGAGAAATGAGGACCAATAGATTTTTCTTTACTTCTTTTATATGCCAAATAGATTCTAGCATCTAAATCTAAAATATAATAATTAACAAATCTAACTTCCTTAAGTCTTTTATGAGATTCTAATTTTACAATATGTTCACGTTTAAAATCATTATTTCCTAATGTTAATAATTCTAAATTTTTAAACTTACTCATCGATTCTATTAATTCCTATAAAAAAAAAAAAAAATAAACGCATATAAAATTGATTAGGAATTGATTTTCATTAAAAATAAAAGATGAAAAAAAAATCCACGATAAATAAATTAATAAATTAATTTAGTTACATCAGGAGATAATCCTATTATGTTAAATCTTAAACTTAAACTTTTAATATTACAACATTCTTTTGCCAGATTTTCTAATAAATAAAAATCAAATTTATAAGAAGGATGATGTCTAATGTCGGCAGAATCATCATCAGCTGTAGCCAAATTATCAGATCTAATATCCAAATACTCCAAATTACGCCTTTTATTCATAATCAAATCCATTATAATATTTGGTGTCATTTTTGGCCTATTCGTGAAACTAAATTCAAACAAATTCTTGCAATTTTTCACAATTTTCGATAATGAGTCATAGGTAATATTTAAACATCCCAATAGTACAAATATCTTTAAATTTGTACAATAGTTTGCAATGGTCAAAATTGATTTGTCTGTCAATAGATTGCAATCGATTATTTTTAATTCTTTTAGATTATTATGAAATTTTGATAGTGTCATTATTGAAATGTCTGTTAGAGTCACGCATGATTTCAATTTTACCGATTCTAATTGATTACAATGTTTTGTCATTGTTATAAATAAATCATCAGGAAATCCTGGTGCAGAATCTAATTCTATATAACGTAAATACATTTCATTCTGTACCTGAATTAATGAATGTGGTGTGTGTGTGTGTGTGCGCATATGTGTGCGGATGTATGTGTGAATCAATAAATTAATAAATTAACTAATGTTAAAGCGAATGTGAGAGAGAGAACTATTTACCCATAAATTTAAAAAATGTCGAAATCCAAAATAAGATCCAAATCTTAAAGTTAATGACTCCAATGGTGGAAATTCTTTAAAAGATTGAAGGGAATCAAGATAAAGATCATCTAGAGTAATGTAAGGAAATTCCAATGATATTTTTTTTAATTTTTTCCTTGTATTTTTTTGACAACAAGCGGAAGAAGATGATGACCATGATGAAAACAAATTTCTAAATCCCGCACCAGTGATCGAATTACAAGTGAAATTCTCCAAATTTACAAAAAACTCCACTATGACAGCTGCAATAACATTCGTTATAACATTAGATACGACCAATGTGTTGATTAATGGACAAGCTCTACCGATATCTTTAAGAATATCAATCTTCCATTTAAAATTTCTTAATTCTAAATATGAGAGTTTCGAACAATGACCATCCCTAATAGGTTTCAAAGCATTGGCGAGCCTTGATTTGAGTGGTTTATCTGCAATTGTGAACGAGACTAGACTTGAACAATTTTCCAGAAAGGCAGCCACTGTTTCGGCTGTAAAAGATGCTGATAAAGTTTTAAATCTGACGTATTTGATATTTTTACATCTTTTTGAAATCAAGATCAAATCTTCTGGTGAAATAACAATTTCTGAATAATCAAATATGAAACTCTGAATCATCTTCTCGTATGGGTAGGCAGTTTTAGCTTTACGTAAAGTTTTCGTGAATCTTACAAAGTTGAATTGTGATTTCCATGATGGGCTTTTCCATAACTTTTCTACAATTACCTTTTAGATACAAGTTATTAATTTTTTTAGAAAAAAAGTATATAAATATTTATAAAAAATTTAAAAAATTTTACCAAAGTCCAAAAAGAATGAACCAACAATACATTAAACATATCATCTTGATACTCAAAATATGAAAATATTATATATATAATATCAATATTTAATAATGCTGATTGTGTACGTGTACGTGTAATTTGTACCATATTTTTTAAATTTTTAAGTTTTTTGGATTTCTAAAATAAAAGTAAATAATAATAAATAAAAAATACATAATTTATACATTTAAATTCTGCACGTGCTACAAATAATGATGAATCGAAAAAGATTTCCACATTGTTTACGTGTAACAAACAATTCCAAAAAATTTACGTTTCCATTATCATTATATAGTAATGGAAACAAAAGAAAAATTTGAATGGTATTGTGCATGTATATGTGCATGTATTATTATCAGCCTTTTTTTTTTTTAAACAATGATTTGGATTTTGTAAATTTATTTATTTATTTATTTATTTATTAAAAAATCCCACCTTTGTCAGTTTTTGTATCGATTTCATCAATTTCTTTATTGACGTCATCCTTGTTGTTGCTGTTATTATCGTCAATAGCATCATTTTCATTATACATTAAAGGCAAACCTAAACCAACACGATTTGCCGCTAATTCAGTTTTATGTTCTTCAGATGCACCATAAAGAGGATTGAATGATTTTAAAAGTTCCTAAAAAAAAAAAAAAATAAATATTTTTTAACAATAGCCAAAAAAAAAAAAATTTTTTTTAAATGAATTCAAAGATAATAAATAAATATTTCTACGTACATCATATCTACGATTACTTTTTAAGTAGCATAATATATCATTAGCATCTTCGATTTTATTGTTGTTGATGATTTTGAATGAATTCAAAAGTTCATTTCTCCATAATGGACTTTTATTATATTGTGTGAACTATTTAAATTTATTATTCGAAGAGGGAAAAAAGAACCAATAAATCAATTATAACTATTAATTAATAATGATTAACCTGTTTGATTTATTTTTTTACCTGTTTATTAACCTCTCTTAATAATTGACGATAAGTAAAGATAATATTTTGTTTATTATAATTTGTCATTTTCTAAAGATTAAAAAAAATTTTTTTTTGTAATACAAAATGATGATCTATACGTGTATAAAACTAATTTTGGTTTAGTGCAGGTCGAATTAGCCGTTGAATTGGTGTTATTTAATCGTCATTGACGACAAGATGATTCAATATTAATTATTGTCTAAAGCTCCCTCTTGAATAGTCGGTTCATAACTCACTTGATAAAGGTTAAGCATTTGTTAGTAATACCAACTATTATTATATCGATCGAAGATAAAAAAATGCTAATGGAATTGGCACTTCTTATTATGGAAGCACAGATTACCATTATTTTAGTATCATTATTAGTTTTTAAGATAATATTAGATGATCCAGGGAACGAGAGAAAGTGGCATTATTTATAGAATATGTAGGTAGGTCTCTTCCACGGAAAAAATCAATGACGATGAAAAATTTTCTTTCCAAAAAAAAACTAGCGAACCGACATCTTTATCTTAAAACAATTAAAAAATAATATATGGATTATCAAAGTAAAGCTTGATTTCGTACTTTTTATTTGGATTGAATTCATCATATGTTTCTTTTCTTTCATTCGAGGCTTTTTTAATCTTGGAATAAAAAAAATGCGATGAATATTTGTCCTTTATATTGTCACCTCACGTAAAATGCATCCACTCATTTGGACCAAATAAAAATATTATTAGCAAAAAACAGTTTGATGTGAATTTTTAAATGATACTAACTAAAGAAAGGATATTACTGATGTTATAATTATTTTTGATGTAATGTTTCTCGACAATAAGCATTACAAGTTATCTAAATCAACTTGACGAGAATTACCATTAACATTTACTAATAATTTGAATTGACAGGTTGAGAAAAGATTTGGTATAATTGGATGAACTATTGCTGTAATTATTGAGGGATCGGATTTAACCCTATCCATTTCATAAAAGTCATTACTAATTGAACCAATACCACAACCAAAAAATGTTACTATTTATCAATAACATCATAAATTTCTTCGGAAGTACACGCACTTGTACGCTAATCCAATCCAATATATATTATTATTCCTCCACATACTGTCCTGTCAAAAAGTGGTCAGTTTACATTCTGAAGATTACATATATAAAATTTGATTTTATGATTATTTTGAAAAATTTAAAATACATTTTAAAATTTCTACATGTGTGTGATAATCTAAAATCTTTTATTGCGCGATTCTATTTCTTTTTTTTTTTTTTTTTTTAAAAAAAATTCATAACCAAAAGATTTTAATCCGTTCTCACATGGACTAATTTTGTCACGCAGTTTAAAGATCTAAATTTATATGTAAATAATTCAAAATGACATTTTCTCTGAAAGTTGATTTAATAAGAAGAAACAATAGACAGAATGTTTATTATTATGACTTAAAAAGATACTGCTAAGAATTCTCGGTGAAATTCCAATTCCTCCGATCTCTATTACTATTACCAAAAGCTGAGAAAATTGGCGTATTATCACATGATTTATATATTTGGAACCTTGCATGTGGTTTTTTTAAAAATAGCTCTATTATTGGCTGAGTTCTATTCTTTTTTAGTTCATATTTTACTATTATTCTAAATTTAGACTCGTGTGTTATCGCGTAAAAAAATATTTTTATGTAGAAATGGCGAGATTCGTTTTTTAAATTCATGCTTGATATCTCAAAATCGCCTAATGAAACATTTCGCAGTTTTCTTTATCAGGAAAGCATTTCTGTATTTTTTGGGGATATTGCAAATATATAATTTGATTTTTTTCAATTTCAGAGCCCAGATTAACCATTTATTTGTTTTGGAATAAATTAAATTATGATGATAAAATTTTTTTTAGAAATATCCTTTTGTTGAATGAAATATGCAATTTACAGATATTCATTCAAATAGCATACTGGATCCATGAATTTAATTTGATGGCTGAATACGTTAATAAAAATGTAAATAATTTACTAGAAAAATCAAAAGGTATTGTTTAGGGTGAAATATTTAAAAACAAAATAAAAAAAGGATGAAAGAAACGAGTTTTAAAAGTTGACAATTTCCGATTGGTTGCCTACAAACGGAGTTTTAAATGATTCAATTTTGGTGTAAGGAACCAGATAGTACACGAGATTTGTCCACTTTGTGCAGTTTTTTGATTATTTCAAAGAAGAATTGCAAAACCATTTTTAAACACCACAAAATCGTGACGCGTTGGAGCAATAATTTTATTTCAGATGAAAAACTATGATAGCCATTGCAAATTTTTACGTAAAATCCCCTTTCGCTTAGTACGTAAGTCATGCCTATTTGAATTTCAATGACAAAGTGCAGTAAATGAAGAATCCAGATATATATATATATACTATGGGTAGCCAAAATGGAACTTTTATGCAAAATTTTGTAATCCCCGTCTGATCAAAACAAAGGAATTAAAATAGAAATATTTTAAAAGCAACGAATTACTCCTTGACCATTTTTGGTATCCAATAATAGTTTAAATATCAATATTTGTTGATTATTGACTTTTAATTCTTCCAAAAAAATAAATTGTAGTTTTGAAACCAAAGCATTTCTCTACATATATCATGTCACTATGAAGAAAATTAAAGCACGAGTTTGTTACACGCAACTTTTTTTAACTCACACTCACGTGATCCTAACATATATTGCTGATCCTTTGTTGACTAAAAATGTTATCATAATAACAATAATAACTCGTTTTGGGTTTGGGAGGATCATTTATAACTTTAAAAATTTCGTTTTCTCGAAATTGGCGTTGTGGTACAGAAAGTTGTGTAGGTGAACCAAAAAAATATTTTTTATATGAACAAGTATGCTAAAGAGAGAAAGATTAAAATTTTTGAAATTAGTTGGTTGTAACGGTTTTTGATTAATAAAAAGTTCATCGAATGCATTGAAATATATGGGTCAGCCATTTACAAAAAAAAATTGATTGGTGTGGCTTTTGACTCTATTACTAAAATTGTTTTCTGGACGCGGTTCATCAAAGTGTGGCGTATTCAAGGGTCATGTTTAACGTTAACATTAATATTAAAGTTTCCAAACAGTTATTTAGCCTTTTTTAGAAAATTTCTGACGATCAAAACTGGGATTCCGTATTAGTATTTTTCATAGAAGGGATTGGAATTGTATAATTTAAAAACATCCGCCATTTTACTGATTAGTTTTATTCTTATCTTCTTCTATGGCGAATTCACTTAGATGAGATAAGATGATTGAGCGCAATTGAAAAATAAATATACCGAATTATTAAATAACCTGTTTTTAATAAACAATTAATATTAAACAATGTAATTTGTATATTTTGGCTTTTGTGTACCCATACCTTAAAAAATTATCTATTTATATTTATTTATACAGTATCATATTTTCTCTTCCTTGACTTAATTCTTTCGAAAACATCCATAGACAAAGTAGAAAGTTGTCTAAAGAATCCAAACCACCAAATTAATTAACCAATATTTTCAAAGAATAGTTAAAAGATGTATCGTCGAAAAGAGATGAGGAAGGTGAAGCGATGAAGTTTGTTAAAAAAAAAAAAACAAAGAAACGAGTAAAAAAATTGTTCTACTTTATGATTATAACACTGATTAGTCAATGATGTGACAAAGGATTAGAAATTGTTGAATATCTAACGGTCGAACGATAACGCGTTTTGAACCTATGCGTCTTGAAACGTGTGCATAATTCTTTCAAATATTAGCACCTTAGTCAACTTTGGACCGTATACCCTTCTTAGCTACATTGTATTCGAAATGCTTTGTATTAGTTTATTTTTCTAAATATCAAAAGTTCACGTCTAATAAAAATTTTGATTATGAAGATTATGAAAAATGGGCTATTTTGCAGCGTATATACTTGATACGTTTGCACGCCCGTCTTTGTTTGTATATAATATTAAAAATGGATTTGAATATTGTATTCGGTAGATAGGTAGATGCCATGAATATCATATAAAAAATTTCTAATTAACCAACCACCAACATATTTCTATAACTAGAGTACAAAAGGAGTTACTCTGAAAATAAACTAAATCATCCATATCTACTGATTATTCATATTTAAAATTTATTGGATAATTGGGTAAATAGAATTCCCTATATGTGGAACGCGAGGCTATTTTTGATCATCAAAATAAACGGGTTGAGATATATTGGTATTAATATGTAGTTGGAATGGTTTTCGTTATTTCCAAGTAATTAATTGTAACAAATAAAGTTTCTATATTTCTTTTATATTTATATATATATATATATTAATAGGTAAATAAAAGAGCTTTACATATATGTTCCTGTAGAATCATGAAAATATCAATGCTAATAGATTATAAAAAAGTTGGAGAGAATAAAAAGATGGAACAGATATCATTACAATAAAAGTGACCTCACGTATTTTTTTTTTTTTTTTCATAAAGGAAAAGGACATTAGGATTAGTGTGATCAAATTAGAACAATATATTTTCATTTGTTTATTTATTTTTTTGTTTATTTTTTTGTAAAAAAAAATAAAAAAAGTGTATAATTTTTAATTTTTTCTAAAGGAATGTAATAAATGACATAATAAAAAAATTTTTTTTTTGCGATAAAATAGAATAACATATAGATCAAAAAAAAAAATTGCTAAATTAAAATAAAAAAAAAAAATTTGTCATAAATATTATCCTTAGAATTTTTTTTTTGGTTTTCTTCGTCAGTTTATTATTTATAATCATGTATATTATATTTTTTTCTATTTTTTGATCCAAATTCTATTAAATAACAAAAAAGAAAATTTATCATATATATGTACGCCTTTACTAAAAAAAGGAGATTATATTATATAATAGCTTTATATATATAACTCTATAATCGATATATATAATTAATATATATAAATACGTATACACACAATATGTATAATAAATAAATATATATATAATATATGAATGTCATCTTTTCTCTCTCTCTCTCTCTCTCTCTCTCTCTCTCTCTCTCTCTCTAAAAAAAGAAATCATCGATGATAATAATATATTTTATATATATAATAAATATATATATATAAAGATGTGTAATTATAATATGATATGTAAAAAAAAACTAAAATTATAATATAAATATATAAATATAAATAATTAAATATAATAAATAAAAATAAATAAATTGCTATGTCCGCAATTATTATTGTTGTTGGACCTTTCTTATTTCTACTAATGTGCAACATAAAGAGCGTCTGGCCTTAATGTTGGCTGCTTTTGAATGTGAACCACAAGCTCTGGATTTTGTCAGGTTTGCTTCGAACCGAGAGGATGTATGTAATGTTCTCTATACTATTACTACTAATATTAAATATTACTATTACTAACTACTATAGTAATATATATTGACGACTGTAAATGTTCATTAAAAAAAATATATATTAAAAAAAAAAAAATAATAATTGTTTTTTTTTTGAGGTTTTTTAGACACCATTTTCCAATTTTTTTTATATTATTATTTTTCTTTTTTTTTTAATTTTCTCTTTGATTTTCCATTTTCTTTTAATTATCATTTAAAAATGATAATATTAATATTAAATCCTTTCTATTTTTTGCCCAGATTAACTTTTTTCGTTGTTGGGTTTTCCGACTTGTATTTGTCCATATTCAGGAAGAAGTTTGTATTCTCCTGGATAGCCCATTCCTTCTGTTCCTATTGGACCACAATAATCTGAATAATCATCTGTGAATACTTTTTTAATTCAATAATTGATTTTGATAGAAATAGAAATAATTATATATATATATATATGATAATATTAGTATTTTAATTTAAAAACAAAAATAAATAATAAAATAAAATAATTAAATTATTTTAATAATATTACATGAAAAATCCTCTCCATCAGAATCATAGAGTATGAAATCATCTTTTGGTTCAACCAAATGTTCGTGAATAATAATGTTTGTATTAGCTGACGAAGTTTTTGTTGGTATTGTTGTTGTTGGTGTTGTTGGTGTTGTTGTTGGCAGTGGTGTTGGTGGTGTTGATGTTGATTCTGAAACGGGTGTTAATGGTAAAGATTTACGTAAAAGAGGTGGAGCTTCTTCGCTGGAAAGTTCAGCGTTACAATCTTTTGGAGTTAGAGCTGACATTATTTATTCCACCCCGAAGAAAGAATTTTACAAGTTAAAAGTTCAAGAACCAACTAATAATAGTAGTAGTAAGTGAATAACAATAATAATGAGAATTAAAAAACAAAGAAAAGAAATTATTGAACCATGGACTTTTTAGATTGGTTCTTTTTATTTTACTTTTCAATTACTACTACTACTACTGCCAAATTATTATATAATTTTATTAATTATTATTTATTATAACTTTTCAATTTCATTAATTAGTTACTAATTAATTAAATAAATAATTACCGTTCTTGTAAAGTATTTGTTAATGTCGTCGAAAGAAATTTTCATAAAAAAATTGAAACTAAAATTTTTATTTACACTAGATTTTATTTTTATCAAATATATATATATTTATAATAAATATAATAATAAAAAGAATATTTTTTTATTTTTTTTCTAGTAGCTTTTTTGATTGGTACAACATAAATATTAAAATATATACATTTCATTTTATTTTATTTATTTTGCAAACATTTATTTTTACCCATTTTTTATTAATTTGGCAGTTTATCGATAAATGCTATTAGTGCTTTTCCTTATATTTCTTTCACTCACTACATTATTTTTTATCAATTAATCAATTAAATATTATAAACAATATTTAAAATGATGTATTTTTTACCATTATCAAGTTATCAACAACAGATATATTAATTTTTTTTTGTAATAATGGATGAAAATCGTTTCCTTTTTCAAAAATTCAAGTATTAATTTTTGTGGCGGCGGCGAATGCAAAAAAGTAAATAATAATAATAAAAAAAAAAAAATAAAAAAATAAAATGAATGAATTAATTAGGATATTCATAAGACAAAAATAAATAGTAATGCTTCGAATTTTTCTTTTCCTTTTAATTTCCTTTCATCAACTTCTTATTCTGATATTTGCACACACTCGCCCCGATATCAAAATATGATGTTTTTTTATTACTAATTATGAGTACACAACAATAATCAATAGAATATTATTGACACAAAGAAGAACGGAATTCATTGTCCGTTGAAAGGGTACGTCATCCCAATTATTATTTTGGAAAAAGATTTTCAAGAATTTTTTTTTCTGATTTTTCTTAAAAACAAAAAATAATTAAATAAATACGTGTATGTATATTTACATATATACCGATATATAAACAAACATTTTAACCACGTAAACGTGAATTTGTGGTTTTGGTTTACGTATTATTGTTTGCTGGGCATTTTTTGATTTTTTACGTCATGTGAATTAGAATTCAGTTGGCGAGATAAGAAATAAATTCGAACAAACAAACAAATAATAATAATAATAGTAATTATAGCATATAAATATTGTTTTTGATATGACTGCGTAATTTGCAAATATGCACTAATTATTTATATATATAATCAATCGTACGTACATGATAATAAATTTTATTATTATTATTACAGTAATAGTAACTGCTATGAATTAATTTTGCGTAGTCATAAAATAATAAGTGATTTCTTATAAGTAGTAGGAACAAGTTTAATTCTCTAAATATAATTCCAACTGTATTTATTATTATTGGTTCCTCTGTTTCAGCCATAAGTTCCAGGTTCCCTTGGCTTCCCTTGTCTGCTTTCTTTATTTCTTCTTTTATTATTTCTTCTGTTATCATTTCCACAGACTACTTTATTTATTTCTTCTTGTATTGTATTTATCTACCGCTTTCTTTGTTTCTTTTTTTATTTACTTTTTGCCTCTTCTTTTAATTTTTTGTTTTCTTTTTCATGTATTCTCCCCAAAAAGTTTATTTAAAAATATATTTTCGGAATTTTCATCTGTTTCTTTTGTATTTCATCTTTGTTTTTATTGGCTGCTTTAACTGTTTTTTTTTTGTATTCGATCGACTGCTCCAACTGTTTCTTTTTGTATTTTATTAACTATTTCATCTGTTTCATCTTGAATTGTTTCGACTACTTTATCTACGTCTTTTCTTTTTTTAATTGCTCTTTCTTCTTTTCAGATCAATGTTCGAGGACTCTTTTTTAGTGTTCCCAGAATGTTTATCCGCTCATCTTTGTATTACATCGCCTGCTTTATCTATTTCTTTTCGTACTCTCTTGATTCTCTTGACCGCTTTAACAGTTTCTTTTGTCCCATCCAAATGAAACTTTGGGAATCCTTTTTTGAAACAATTAAAGAATCCAATTTCTCCGGAATCTTCATTCGATAAAATAAAACAAAAGCATGCCAACACCCAAAAGTGTAATTCCAAAGATCAATTTTGTGATCAAAACTGACCTAGGTAAACAGATATTGAATCATAAACTTTTGATAAATCATCAAAGTCGAGAAATTGAATAAACATGCCATCTGTGATAAACGTTTGTAATTATCATTATTTGGAAATTTTTGCGCATTGACAATAGAACACAATAAAATAACAAACGGGATCACGATTAAAAATTGTAATGCTTTGTATTGACTATTCCAAATGCTGTCCACCAAGCAATGTTGTAAATAAAAAGTAAAAACGTTCCCATGTAAACGCTGCTGAATACTGGTATTATTATACGTTCACGCATTTTTAAATGTTGCATGATACCAAAAAATAATTGCATAAGCAAAATTGACAAAGAAAAGGAAAATAATTAGACCCTTCTGTAACATTGCGATCAAAGGTAAAAAACGCACAAGCAAGACAAAATGATAAAATCATCTACAAAATAAACGATTGTACCAAACCAAGGTTTTTTTTCAGTAATATAAACCAACAAAATAATCAAAGGTAAGATATTATAAAAAAGGAAATCATAGATGTCGGAATAACAATCTTGGGCATTTTGGGCTTGGATAAAAAAGAAAAAAGAAAGGAACAAAAGGTAATGCGCAGCCCGAGAATTAAAACCTCCTATTCTCTTCATGAGTAACACAATGAGAAAAAAAGGCTTTGTAACAGTTATGGCCAAAAGAAACCTAAATTTAATAAAAGAAGGGTCCCAGGGCCGTAATTTTGCACGTTTAAAAATTGCATGCTTCAAAATTTACAATGCAAAGTTCATAGGGAATAGGTTTCCTGGTGAAATGTGCTCCTTAAAGAAGTAAAGAATAAAGCCTATACACAAACGAAGAATAAAAGACCTCTAATTCCAAAATATTTTGATAATAGAAGCTTCAATGTATGCCTTTGAAATGTTGCGGCTGAGTGAGAGGCACAGAAAAGAAAAATATTTGTTGGACGAAACCGCATTTTATTTAAAATATAGTTTTATTTGTGTTAAATTACAAATTACTAATTTGAAAACCTCAGCCACAATTTCCCCTGCATTTATGTTTTTATTATTACTATATTAATATACTAATACGCGAATCGTAATACACGTATGTGAAATTAAAATTGACCATATTTAATTATACTGATGAAGTTGAAAGAGAATGTTTCATTTAGTTCACACTGACCTTTGTGATCAGAAGGATTTTGTGTATTCTGTGTATTTTCGTATATACGAAAAAATAACGTTATTTAAAAAAAATGTCTTGTGTGTGTTATTTTTTAATTAAAAGAGTTATATAGGTAAACTTGATAAGTCGTCTGACTTATCGAGAAATCCGACTTATCGAAATATGCAAAAAAAAAAATTTTTTTGAAAAATTGTTTAATTATAATAATTGAAAAAATAACTTTTTGATAAAACAGAAGATAAAAACAAAAAAATGCACTATCCTTTATCTAAATAAATATCCACACAGGTTGTATTAAATAATTATTTTGTTTTCTGTCAATTTCCATTTTAAATCTTTTAATCCTGAAACAAATAAAATATTTACTTGTATATTATTATTTCGTTGAAAGTAATTATTATTCACAAAAGATAAATTTTAGAATGATATAAAATAAAAATATATTATTCACGAAACATATTCAAATTATTCTACATTACTAAAAATAGTAAAGATGATCTCTCAAACATTTTACAAAAATCACATGAACCGACTTATCAAGAGTCATTTATTATTATCTGGCTGGAGGAGTTGTCCGACTTATCAAGAGATTTTTAAATATAAAAAAAAATGGCTGGAAATTTTTTTTCGAGTTAAGCCATATCCGACTTATCGAGTTTGCCTATGTATTTTAGTGATGGAATATAAAAAAAACCAAATTATTCATCAAAATCATATACATTCCAATATACATTCTCAATTTACATCTCCCAAATTATATTATGATTTGTGGCTTTGTCATTCAAACAAAAATTTGAATATATTAATATATAAACTAACTTAAAACTCTGTCATCATTGACATAAATTTAGCAGCAAGTTCAGAAAGTACTGACACCTCATTTTTTAAAGCAGACCACTACATAGTAGGATCCTTTATGGTTTCATCTGACCATAATACATTTAAGCACACCCGATTTGCTTTGGTATTCCAGCATTTAAAGGAAGAAAATTTTTTTGTAAAGAATTCTATTATGTTATATAACATTCACATAGTTTTTTTTTTTTTGATGAACCATCTACGCCACAGCGCCAATTATCTTAAAATGGAATGTTTAATTTGTATGTCACCATATAGGAATTTTCTTGCGCACATATCAAAAAATTGAATTATAAAGGCCTTTACTTGGTATCCATTTTGGATCTCAAGATCAATAACAAAACCGAATGTCACTTCCCCATATAATATGTTATATAAAATAACAAAATGTTGAGAGTACCACCTGAACTTTTAATACCAATATTCAAATACATAAAGGATGATGATTACAAAACATTATATTCTTGCATTCTTGTTAATAGACAATGGCATCATATCAATATTTCAACTTTATGGGAAAATCCATTTTATTCGGCTGATAGTATCAAAGTATTAATTAATTGTTTGTTAGTAAAAGACAAAAAAATTTTAACAAACAGCAACATTGAATTGAAAATTTTTGAATTACTTGAAAAACCACTATTATACAATTATGCAAATTTTGCAACTGTTACCAGAATTAGGATTTAACGCTAATTTGTTAGTCGAAATACCCTAATTCCGAAACAAATCTTTTTATTTCTATTTTTACTTTATTTTTATATCTACATTTATTTATTCCTTATATTTTATTTCTTATTTTATTTTATTCATATTTTACTATTTTATTTGTATATATTACATTTTTATTTTTAATTATTTGCTCGTGTTTTTTTTAGATGAATTTCTCATCTTTTGTAGTTTGTTTTTTTTCCTTGGTAATGCTATTGGCTAAATATAATTCTTGTTTTAGTTATTGAATTCCTTGGGCTTGTTGATTTATTTCCTGATTTCTAATTGTTCGGCTAATTAATTGTCTTACTCTTCATTCTTGGGCTTTTTTTAAGGCATCCAAGTGTATTTCATTAACTTGCTTGGCATTCTCAGCTCGTTGCTTCAGTGTTCAATAATATTTTAATTGAGTCACTTTTTTCTCCTTTTTCTTTCTTGATTAATTCTTCATATCAGTTGGGAAAATAAAGAAATAAAGGCAGGTAACAAAGGAGAAATTAATAATGCAACAATGACAAAGTAATATAAATTGCAGATTAACCAAAGAAATAGATGGTTGCTTTTTTCTCATGTTTAAATTATATATTTTGTTAAATAAAATAGATAACCATCATTTATCTTTTTTTATTTGTTGTTTAATCCTTTCCTTGTGCATGAATAATACTTTTGTCCCCACTATTGATTGTATCATTTCTATCATTGCAATGTTCATGATGGTTATGCAATATATTCAATGTATTCAATATATGATTCGTAAGGATACTGGCTGCAACTTTTGATGATGGTTGCTACCACCTTTGCATCATATAAAAATGATTGTAACCGCTGCTCTACGACCATTTTGTTTCCTTTTTTGGATTGCGACACGGAACGCTAATGATTCGTTAACATCTCTCACCTTTTTTTTTTGGTATTATTGCCCGCTTACATATATATAATCTATCCAATCACATTATAATAAAAATAAATGCAAAAGAAAATTTAAAAGAAAATGGATACAAAAGGAACAATCTATTTGTTAAAAGACACTAGACCAAATAAATGAAATGTAATTCACTATCCAAGTTTAGCAATAATAACAATTTTTTGTTTTAAACATGTGTTTCCTTTCATAAGATGATAAAATGTTATATCATTATATAGTTCTTCAAATGCCATTTTATGAAATCGTCAGAGGATATTTTCCCGAATCTTATCAATGGACAAACATCTTTAATGTGATTTTCAACTCCTTGAAATCATTATCACTACATTCTGATATATTTTTTTCTTTCGAATTTTCCGATTGACCTACTCTCCCATTGAATCACAAAGTTCCCCCAATCTCTTTTAACCCAAGATCATCTCTTTCCAATATGGACATTAGTATCGATTTTCATGATTATAATATCATCAGATTTTAAGTATTATTCGGCAATCAATTCTTTGCAAAATTTGGAATAGTCTGGATAATTGATGGATTGGATTGAGATTTTGGTAAATCCATTCTTTTTTTTCAATTAAAATTTTTTACTCATTTCTATTCCACGAGCTTGTCTTGTGTTCATATATTTCCGAATTCTCAAATAATAAATTGATCGGCTGATGAATTAACAATTCATCACATGCTATCAGCAATTAAAATAAATATTGCCATCAGATCTTCTAATTGATCCACTTAATAAAGCTAGCGAAAATGTCATTTTACACGAAAATCTGGTTCAACTAAGGTTTTTGATCGAAACTACCTCTCTTAGTATTAGTAGCTGAAATTACCGAAATACCTTGGATAAAATTAATTTTATATAGGCCCAACTATTTTATTAATAGCCAAAATGGACAAAATTATTTTTAAATTATTTAAACCGAAATAGGTTGGTTATTATGTTCATAATTCTTATAAAAATCTTGAGAAGCCCAAACTATTGCCAAGGCTACTTTTTTTCGGAAATAGTTTGGACCAGAAACCTTAGCCTCAACCTCGACAGGATTTGAACATCCCAGGCCAATTGAATCTTGTTATCTCCCAAGATCAAATTATTGTAATATATATCATAAGCAATTGCGGCATCATTTATGTTTTCAAATTATGCTAAAAATCGAAACGAACATTCGTGAATGAATATTCTATTAAAAAAAACTAACACTAATAATCTCCCCTTTCTTTTATATATATTTATTAAAAATTTGAGTTATATCATTCTTATGAAATCCACAAAGTAAAGTTGTTTACATGAAGTTTTGAATTTCTTTTATTTTGACTTTAATGATCGTTCCGGGGTTTTTTTTCATTGGAATACAATGTTATACTGGGATTCAGGATTCAGTCAATGAAATTTATTTGATTAATCATAATGATAATAAAATCAAAAGCTTCTAGAAAATTATCATGATCATAATTATAATAATGAAAATGATAATGAAAATAACAATATTGATGAAAATGAAATTGGTTATGATAGCAAAATTGAAGGAAGATAATGAAAGCGAATAGTTGAAGATAACGATACTGAAATTGGCGATAAAGATAGTGTTTGATGATGTTTAATCAATATATTACTCCTAATAATGCATATTTCACCAATTCTCACATTAATATTAATACTTATAACAGCAATAATAATGGAAATAGTCATGATATCATGGATCAAAGGATTTGTTTGCATAGTTCCAGGCTGTGGTAAGTCAAGAAAATTATTCGTGCGGCATTATAAAAAAGAAATTTTGATGCATAAATGTTTAGATCTTAAATCTAATTTACTACGACATATATGCAAGGTTTCATTTTTGGAATAAAAGATTTTAGGTGTGAGTGAATATCCGGGATGTGGTAAAGCATCTGTTATCAAATCTGATTTACTATGATATATTCATCTTGGAATAAAAGATTTTAGGTGTAAATATCCAGAATGTATCAAAAGATTTGCTGTTTAAAATATCCGCAAAATCCGTTCATCTAGGAATAAAGATTCAAGTGTGAATTCCCAGGATATAACAAATCATTCTGTGCTAAAAGTAATTTATTACGACATACAAAATTTCATCTTGGATTAAATTTTGACATAAGTGGATAGCAAAAAGATTTATCACCAAATCTAATCTTGACCGACGTAAACCTAGAATAATGTCTTTTTTAAAAATGATTCTATAGTGTCAAATATTCAATTGATTCAAATCTTTTAATTAACAGCATCATTGTTATTACACATTGTAATTAGAAATGCAAAGCTTTAAAATAAAAAAGCCCCATATTTTACTATTCGATGGCTGTTGATCATCAAACATACATCAATATAACAAATTATTATGTGCATATATTTCAACACGTAAAAATTTTCATGATAAAATTTAATAATAAATTAAATAACCTTAAGCCATAATAACTTTTTTTTTTTTTCATAATAAAATTAAACAAAGCTTTATAATTTTATTGTTTAAGTCTTCTATAATAAAGTTACAGAGAGCTTTTTCCCCTATCTCATTTGGTTATAAAGTTTTTCTATTGGCAATCTTTTTTTCAATTTCTTTAGAATATATAAAAAAATTTTTTTTTATCTAGCAAGAAAAAAACTCTCTGTAATCTAAAAGCTTAATCTATTTGCTATAATCTCCCTTAGTTTCGTGTCTGTATCTCTTTATTTGAAAGCTCTGATACAATTTTTATTTATATATGTTTGTTATCGATCGGCATTATGTTACTAATGTTGATTTAATTAGGGCATCTCACACCCAATATTTTACGTTAGCGATAGTTTTTCCTTAATAACGTATGCACCATAAAAATCCAAAACACTAATATCAAATTAAGGCATTAAAAATTTTGAAAGCATTTTCAAAAAGTAATAATGGTAAAATGAATTTTTTATGCTACATTATAATGATAAGAGGAAGTATTATTATTATCAAATAAACAAATATTACGATTGGTATTAATTATTCGAGACTTTCTCGCTCGTACAACCAGTTCTTGAGCTAGTAATAGCTTCTTATCTTGTACATCACCAACAGCAAAAGTATCCTCCACAATTGTAATAAATATAATCACCTTCACCGACTATTGGCTAGTACATGGCCAATTGCATAATCATTCGATAATCCTTCTTCGCATGCTTTAAATCTTTCATAATCAACAATTTTCCTAATTTCCCATTATTATTCTTTTATATCCTATTAGAATAGTATTCTAATCTTTTGATTTCACATTAATCTGTTGGGTGTAACTCTTGATACAGAGAGTTTATCTCTATGAATAAGTACATATACTTGTGATCGCATATTTAATAAGAGATATTGCTTCTGCTGCAGCTGAATTCTACCACCAAACTACAGCAAGCGGTTTGTCGCTAACGCACATTTTTCATAATAAAAATCAGTAAGTAAATTGTCTATTTATGTTAATTGCACAGAAAATCCTTTTTGCCGAAAAATTTCTTCAAATATTGTGGGAATGATTATTTGATACTACTCTGAAATTGGATTAGATTGATTGGATTGACACTAATACATTTATTATTATATGTAAAAGATCTAGCCAATAATAAACTACATTCTTGAAAATCCTAAATTAATGGGAAAATCTTATTTACACAAAAAATATATCATAAAAAGAAATTAATTAAACTTCAAAAAGATCTGATAATAGATGATAAATAATCTTTGGTGGGCATTTTTGCTGATCAATCATCTTCATCAGCATAGTTATAAATAAGGAACAAACATTCTTTTTCAAAAAAAAAAAAATTTTTTTTGTTAATTGGATAATTTACTCTTTATTCTTTTACCCTTATTAATTTTTTTTACGATAAAAATGGGGATTAAAGCTGTTGCAGTTCTTAAAGGTGATAACCCTAGCATCGCTGCTGGTGGTACTGTTACTTTCGAACAGGAAAGCGCAGATAAGGACGTTTCTATTAAAATTGACCTTAAAAATTTAAAACCTGGAAATCACGGTTTTCATATTCAGTAAGTTAATAATAATGGTTCTTTGTTTTATTTTAATTTTTCACTAATTAACTTTTTTTTAGTGAATATGGTGATAACACCAATGGATGTACGTCAGCAGGTGGACATTATAATCCTGATAATAAAAATCATGGTGCACGTCAAGATACTCACAATCGTCATGTAGGTGACTTGGGTAATGTTCTAGTTGGTCCTGATGGCACTTTTAATGGCTCATTTTCAGATGAACTAATTAAATTAATTGGCGAACGCTCAATAATCGGGTATTTAAATTTATCTATTTATAAATTTGTATCATTTTTTCTTTATTTTTTTTCCTTTTTTTTCTCTCACGCACCTACATTCTCTTCCTTTAATTAATATAGACGTACTGTAGTTGTTCACGCTGATCCAGATGATCTTGGTAAAGGTGGTGTTGAGCTTTCACTTACAACTGGTAATGCAGGTGCTCGTCTTGCTTGTGGTGTTATTGGTAATTAATATTTTTTATTGATTTAGTACATAATTATGACTTTTTATTGTTGTTTTTTTCCTCCAACAACTAATTTCTTTCTCTCTTATTATAACAAATATTTATAGGAATCACTAAATAAATTTATTATCATGAATTAAAATTTACAGAAATGGATTATGATTTTTTTAATGATTATTTGTTAATGGTATTTTTTTTACTTGCTCATTATCAATAAATAATTAAAATTGAAAACAATGGACATTGTTGCAGACGATATTCAAAATTTTATGCCGTGTTCAAGTATTTGGCTTACAACTTAACAATTTTTGAAAAAGAAAAAAAATTGATTCAAAAAATAATATTAAATCGAAAAATTTATTAAAATTATGTCAATGGATTCATATACAAAGCTACGTGGATAAATGGTCTTAAATAAGAAACTCAAGCGTGGTTCTCGGAAGAATTTTCAGTCTTTAATTATTTGTCGTTGAAATTAGGTATTTTTAGTTTAAAAATTATGTTAAATTTTATTATCATGTTCAGATAATTAAAATCTATCTAAGGGACCCAATTCAATATATTGAAGATGAAAGGGAGCCTTCAAAATTATTTATCAAAATAACAAAGATTTGAAATTCTTTATTTTATTTGTATAAGTGGTTTAAAAATATTCACTTCCAAAAAATCATCTATTGCTGATTTGGAATTACTTAATTATATATCGAAATCAAATAAAAATGATATTCTGCCATGTTTAACTCCTGAAGTGTTAAATGACATTAGGTATATATATCTTTGGGTATTATCTCTACAGGCTAATAATTTAGCATTTGGTCCAGAAAATATATGAAAGAGCCACTTATACTAGTAGATTTAAATCAGTAAATCATCGAAATTACCTTCTTAATATTGATAAACGATCATTATGTCCGAATTGTTTAATCAAATGATAATAATAATGGTTATTAATACTAATACCGAAATATTTTGGAAACAATTTCGGCTAACATTATGATAATATTTTATTATAAAGATAATATTTTGAAATATAAAAATCAGATAACAAATTGTTACACAAACATATAAAATAATAATGTCCAAAGAGAATGAACAAAATTCTGAACTTGGAAAAAAAGAATAGTACGTATATATAGAATTAGAATTAGGCAAGATGATTAATCCAATATCAATAATAAATAGTAATTTGCTGACTTCTTGTTAATATTTTAGTTGGGATTTATTATATAAACGTGAAAATAAAAATTTTCAAGAATTTGGTGATATTGGAGAGATTTGGTAATCTTTAATAATAATAATAGTAACTATCGCCATCATCTAAACAAACAAATTTATCAATATTCTTTTGAAAAAAAGGTTCGGTCAAGATAGTGTAGAAAAAATGGTGAATTGGGTAAATTAATTGATACATTTATTTAATAATATATATTTATAGATTTTTCACAGATTTTATTTATTTTTTGCAGGTTATTTCTAATTCTTCCAAATCAACATCAATATTAGATATAGGATGTGGAAATGGTCATCTTTTATTAGAGTTAGCAAAAAATCATCAATACACAAATCTGGTTGGAATAGATTATTCATCTGATGCTATTGAATTAGCAAAAAATATAGCAAAAGATCAAGATTTTGACCATATAATTTCATATTATGTTTATGATTTTATTGAAAATAATGATGATAATGAAATTGGAAAATCTATTTTTTATCAAAATTATTTAAGCAATAAATCAACAAATCAGCAACAAAAATTTGATATTATATTGGATAAAGGGACATTTGATGCAATCACTTTAAAAGATCCAGCTTTTTATAAAGTTTATTCACAAAATGTTTTCAATCTATTAAATCATAGACATAATGACAATGTATATTTCCTAATAACAAGTTGTAATTGGACAAATGATGAATTAATTGAAAATTTTAAAGATGGTATGTGGTATTATATATATGAGTGTGTGTATGTGTATGCGTGTTATTTACATTATATATGTTTTATATTTATGTCACAATATATCACGAATTTGTAGAATTTGAATATTATGATCATGTGAAATATCCAACATTTACTTTTGGTGGAATATCAGGACAAAAGATTTCTACCGTTGCCTTTAAACCAAAGAGAAAATAAATAAATAAATAAATAAATATTAATCAATACTCGGTAATTGTCACAGCCGATGAAATAAATTTTCTAATCAAAAAAAATTTTGTGGTCTAGAATTCATTCATATATAACTTTAAGTGAAATTTAGACTTTCCTTAAAAGTTTTCCCCAACACAAAAAAATATATTAATAAATATATACTAACGCTAATAATAAAAATCCCACAAACTTCTAAATTAGAGAGAGAGAGTGGCGTGTTGTCATTTTAAAAAATCTACCAATATCTCTATATCAAATAAAGAATGATTCTTACGAACACAACGATTTATATATCATGCAGACAAGTGATCATAATCATTACCCGAAATATTAAACAACAATGTTTAATAACTATTGAACCAATTAATTCGTAAACCACATGAATATCAAAATTCGGGCAATAATTTTACATGAGATAAAAAAATTGTCGAAAAGTAATTGTAATAATAAATTTAGTTATGAGACACATAAATTTGTGTATGAAAATGTATGAAAAAAAATAGTGAATAAAGATCAACAATATCTAATGTATAAATATACTTGTGAACAAACCCCCCTTTCTGCAACAAATTTTTTTCTTCATTTTTTTTTTAATTAATTATAAAAACTGTAATAATAATTTAAAAAATAAATGCTTAACAATATAATTTCAAGTATTTTTTCAATCAGTGTAATTGGTCTAGTATATTATTATATCTATCCATTATTCCCGGTTATCACTGCAATCATCGCAAGTTTATGGTTCAAATACCTTTATTTTGATAAAAAATCTGGTAAAGTTTCATTTAACTCATCATCATATTGTATTATAATGATGCAATGCAATGATAATAATACGGATCGGTTTTTTTTTATCATAGAAATTAAAAAAGTTTTAAATCCAAAGGAATGGAAAAATTTTGTTCTCATAAAAAAACTAATAATAAGCCATAATGTTGCCTTGTAAGAGTGAGAGATTTTATTTTTAAAATATGATTATGATGAAATTAATCATGACTAATAATTATTGGATTATTTCAAATATATAAACATAGATATAGATTTAAACTACCAAATCCAGATGATGTTCTTGGGCTTCCAATTGGTCAGGTAAACAATATAATCAACAATTATTTAATAATAGACCTCTCATGGACTATGATTTAATAATAATTAATTAATAATTTTATAGCATATATCAGTAGAAGCTGATATTAATGGCAAGGTTCTTCAACGCAGTTACACGCCAACTAGTTCGGATGATGATCTCGGACACTTTGATCTAGTTATAAAGGTGCATGCACTAAATACTAAATATATAAGTGTTGGCGTGTGACATATTTGTACATATTTCTTACCGATTGATCAATAAATCAATCGATTATTTGTTTATTTAAATATAATTTAGTCATATCCAAATGGTAATGTTTCCAAGTATTTTGCTGAATTGGAGATCGGTCAAACTATATCAGTCAAAGGTCCCAAAGGCCAATTTAAATATACTCCCGGATTAGTTAGAGCACTCGGAATGATTGCTGGTAACAATAAAATCAATAATTGAATGATATTGTTTTCATTAGGTTTTAAAATTTAATATTTTATATAATCTATAAATCAATTAATTTTATAATAATAAAACAGGCGGAACTGGAATAACACCAATGTTACAGGTACTTAATCATGGCAATAATAACAATAATAATTTTAATTATTCATTTAATTAATTTATTTGTTTATTTACTTAGATTGTTCGAGCAATTGTTAAAAATCCAAATGATAAAACCACTGTTAATTTAATATTTGCAAATGTTACAATTGATGATATTTTATTAAAAGAAGAATTGGATTTACTTGCTAAAAATCATGAAAACTTTAATGTATTTTATACATTAGATAAAGTAAGTTTATCATTATTTTTATTTTTCAAGTTTTGCCGCCTAATTGACATAATGATTATATTTAGCCTCCAAATGATTGGAATGGTGGAAGAGGATTTGTTACTCAAGATGTGATTAAAAAATTTTGCCCACCTCCTGCAAATGATATTAAGATTTTATTATGTGGTCCACCACCAATGATAAGTGCTATGTCTAAAAATTGTGAAGCGTTGGGTTATGATAAGCCAAGAACTATTTCAAGATTAGAGGTAGATTACATATCTATATAATATATTTTTTGTATTATTTATTATTATTATTAATATTAACTATTAATTTTTTTGTCAATCAATAGGATCAAGTTTTTAAATTTTAATAGTTTAATTATTAATTAATTGGTTAGCTATGATAATTTTTAATTTGTTTTTAGGATTTTTTAAATAAAATTTTTATTTATGGTTGGTAATTATAATACTCAAACTTTGAAAAATTGGTGAATTAGAATGCTTAATATTAACAAAGAATTATCAATACTATAATTTATCATATGTCAAGACGAGCAGATTGCTTTTATGGGAAAATATGTTGTGAATATTAAGGTTTCTGGTCCAAACTATTTTGAAAAAAAGTAGCTTTGGCAATAGTTTGGGCTTCTCAATATTTTTTATAAGAATGAACACGAAAAAATTATATAAACCAACCTATTTAATTTAAGTAATTTAAAAATAATTTCGCCCAATTTGGCTACTAATAAAAAATAGTTTGGGCCTATAAAAATTAATTTTTGCCCAGTTTTTTTGGCAATTTCGGCTACTAAGAGTAGTGAATATTACAAGGATTACTTCAAAAGGTCCAATTGTCTCTATTCCAGATTTATTTATTATTATTAAATTGTGAAATTAAATATAAATTCTAAAATAAAATTAAACCCTAAAATCCAAATTAAAAATAATAATTTTAATAATCAAAACAAAAGGAATGTAGAATAAATTAATGTAAAAGGTATGTCTTGTTAGCCAGAGATTTCTCCACTCAAAGGTCATCAATTAATTAATTAATTAATGCGTGTTTCAATAGTTTGCCTTAGATGATCGAACGTTGTCACATGATAAAGAACAATATTTTATTGGGGTTGGTCACAATGGTTGATCATTGGGGTGTGCGACATTCTAACTAATTAATTTTTGTGATCTGCATATCACTTGCAGAATTTCCGAAATTTACGTAAAGAACATAGTAAACATATTATTTTCAAAACACTACTCATCCTCCGTTTTCAAAGATATAGGCATTAAATTTCCATGAAAGGTAGTATATACATTATACTTTAGAGCTATGGAAAGATTTAATGGATTAAAAATACCAGTGGCGTAAAAAACTCATTCGAAATACAGAAAATTTCTTTTTTATCATAATACTTCTATCTATTGCAACTTCCGAAAAAATTGTATGAAATAAAGATTCTCTCTCCATAGCACTGTTCTACAAA